TGGGGGTCACTTATCTGCTTTATGGTTCTAGCTTATAGGAGTGGCAAGGTTTTCTGTTCTCTAAGTCCTCGGGATACCCCATGTTCTTAAAGAGAGGTTTGCTGTCCAGCCTCGAACTTCCATGCTAGGGACTATGGTGGTGGTTGGCTTTGTGAGGTTTCTGGAGATGTCCAAAGGAGAACAGTCCTTCCTGCGAGGACCAAACATTGAGCATCTCTCCTAGCAATCCTGAATCCCTTCTTCCCATGTTTTTCTTGGTAAGGAAAAGTTCACCTGAAGACACCCTGTCCGTGAACAAAAGGTTCAGGCCAGTGAGACTGTCTGGAGAATAACAAAACCAAGAGCAAAATAACAAGCAGACACTACAATAGTGTGGATGATCCAAAACAGCATCTGAAATTGTCCTCCAGCCATTTCATTCACACACATGTACATGTTCCTGTCAAACACACACAAAACACAAACACATGCATGCATGAACACACATACACACATGCACACATACATTCATGCGCACATGCACACACATACATGCACACATGTTTATATATACACGCGCATGCATCCACACATGCACACACATACATGCACACATGTTTATATATACAATTGCACGCACACAAGTACATACATATGCATGCATACACACACATACACACACGCACACATACATTTGCACACACATACATGCACACATATGTTTATACACACACACACACGAGTGCACACACATGCATGCCACACAAAAGAGTGTGTGTGGTAGGGGAGGGTTGGAGGTTGTCCTTGACGTTTTGGAATGTCTTTTCTGACCAGGCCCCTTTTCTAGAGCCCTCCTTTGCAGGAGACGCCTGCAGGGAAGGGGAGGCTTAATAGGCACCCTCCAAACTGTTAGAAAGGAGATTTGCTTTGCCTCACCCATTCTAACTTTTTCCCCAGAGGCTGCTTCACAATTCGGGAAACCCTCCATGGGCTTCTTGGGAGTGACTCTGTTGATGGGGCTGGTAGAAATCAAAAGCTGTTTGCAAGGCAGAGAAATTGCTCAACCCCTTTCTTCTACAAGTTCTGATGTCTTCCAGTTACAATGGCCCTCCTTGCACTGTCAGGGCTTGAATTTAGAGCTGTTTAGCTCAGGCCATGGTCCCAGGACAATTACAAACAAGTGACCAAGCTGGAAGTTGTTCCTTGAACATTTCTGAGCATTTGAGTACTTTCCCTTCCTACTACGTGACCATGTGCCTATGCGTTTGTATGGGGTGGAAGAGTGAAGGCAGCCTGTGCCTTCTGGCACCCAGGGGCCTAGATAGAAAGGCATCTCTGTGGAAGAACCTGCCCTTTCAGTCCTCTTGGGTCATGGATATAAATGGGTGGCAGCTGCCAGCAGAGTGATTTAGGAGTGACCCTCCCAGCCAAGGGAAGCCAGGCACATTCTGGAATTGCAGACCGGGGTATACAGACAGTTTAGTATATTTAGCAAATGAGATTGCAAGGCACAGGGAAAAAAGGCTGAGTGGGAGGAGAGGAAGAACATTCTCTGGCCAGAAACTTGCTGAACTTTGAGGCCAGGACCGGAGGCTTTGCAGAGGTGGAGAGAGACGTTCCTTGGCTTGTCCTAGACAAATAAATCATGGCCGGAGAGCTCAACCAAAGGCCAATTATGTGGAGTGTTTTCTTGGAAAATCCTCTCGCAGGCTGTGTAAATCACCTCTAGCATTGGAGGACATGCAGATCAGCCTGGGGATGGGGTAAAGTGGCATACCAGTGCACCCCATTGTCAGGTGGAGGAACTGCATGGGGATGATGGTTCAGGCAAGGGCTTAGACAGTCTTGGATACCAACTGTCTCTTCTGGGAAGCCATACAGAGCAAAGACATGTCTCATGCTGGGCCTATAGGCCTGAGGACACTGATCAGGCTTTTACCTATACTTGCTTTGTGACCTTAGGATCATCCACAGAGAGGGTACTGCACTGTCTGAGGTTGCTCTAGATGCTGGTGTCTAATGTATTATCTTCTTGGTCTCTGGTGGAAAGAGGGCGTTGCTGCCCACACTCTAGGTGGGTGAGTGTTCAAAAGGAGTCACAGAACTCACAGATGACCCACAAAGTTTGGTCACACAGAATCATTTTTGGACACTGTTTGGGTCTCTGAAAGCCACTGCAGAGAGAAGTGGAGACTGTGACTATATAGAGAAAAGAAATTGTGGGGATTGCCAGAAGGTTCAGGTTTGCTATATGAAAGGCTTCGTGTGGGAGGAAGCATCAGGGCCTACGGCCTTACTGTGCAGACCAGAAAAAAACAAAACAAAACAAACAACTCATTGACTCAGAAAACCCCATTGGCTCAGAGGTCCCAAAGGAAAGACAAACCTTCTGTTATTATACTCTTACTCAATGACACCACCTTTGGTTGCCTTCATATTTGAAAATGTATCAAGAGCAGTTGATACGCAGTGGCTCCTAAGCTTGGTAGACAAAGGGCTGATCTGCTGCTGCCGTGCTGTGGCAGAGCCTGGTGACAGTCGAATCTCAACAGTCAGGACAGGACATGTTATTCTCCCCATTCCTTCTCCATTTTCTGTCTCCAGAACAGGAAGTGGTGGCTGTAGGAACAGAGCAAGGGACATTCTCTCCCTGAAGGAGCTACCTGCTCTTTGAAGAGCTTTGTATTTTGAATTCAGAAGGGAGTCCATTAGAATTTGTCTGCTCTTTGGAAAAACTTTATCTTGAGATTTGAGGGTAGGACTTTAATAAGCCGTAAGGCCCCAAGGGAAAATCATAGGCGTTAGAAGCAATAAAACAAAATCTGAATGGATAGCCAGGAAGGGGGAGGCTTGGATCTTAAAAAGTGGGGGAGGGGATGTCTGGGAAGCACACACTTTGTTTCTTAATTACTTAAGATGGTCAGTCAGTTGGTGCCTTGTGAATCTATTATTGGTGAGCTTGTGTAAACCTTTTAGGAATGTACTGGTCATTTCAAAGTCAGTAAAATAATTCTTCCATCATCTTAAAATATACTCCTTCACTTAATCGTCAAGAGTCTTTTCTTTCCTCCCACATCCGAGAACCTGATGTTCAACTGTTTCCTGTTTGTGAGTCTATTGATTCTGGTAGGATCCGTTCCCCGTCTCAGTCTGCTATTTTGGTAGGATCCGTTCTCCATCTTTGGCTCTCTTTCTAGACAGCAGCCTGCCCAGTTCTTCTCAATGAAGGTGCAGAACACAATGCTTCTCCTTGCCCCATGAGTGATTTGAAATGTCCCAAATGTTTAGTGTTTGTTTTTTAGATATCAATGAGCAACAGAGAGAGGCAGTAGGTGAAAAGCCACGTCCCATGTCAAGCTTTGTACAGAATTATAGGGCAATCTTATGAGATACAATAAGTGTTATGCTATGCTCTGACACTCAGAGGGTGGTATTTGTCTACAATCTGTTTCAGACTGAGAATTTCAAGACTTATCCACATCCCCACGGTTGCTACCAGTGGTAGAGCCAGGTTCCGAACCCAGGTCTGTCTGACTGCACAGTCTACATTCTTTCTACTGTGCAGGAGTTCTTATACGGCTTGATCAAATATGGAAACAGGGCATGGAAAGCAAATGTGAGCAGGAGGTGGAGAAGAGCTGCTGGATAGACTGACCAGGTGGTAAAATGCTTGCTTGCAAGTGTCAGAGCATGAGTTCAATTCCCTGCAACTGAGGTGATGGGCTTGATGGGGTGTGCTTGTAATCCAAACTCTGGGACATGTTGGCCTGGAAGCCTAGCTGACTTGGTGAATTCCAGGCTAATGAGTGACTCTGTATCAAAAACATAAATGGAAAAACAAAAACAAAAACAAAGATAGACAGTACCAGAGGAACACATCTGAGATTACCATCTGGCTTCTACATTCACCTGTGAAACAACACACATGTGAGGATACAAATATGTTGTACAGAAAGAATGAGTTAGAAATCTTAAATACGTTTGTAAAAAACTTAGAGATTTCTAGACTTTATAGTAAAACATGTCAGATAATCAAATAGGGAGTTCCTGAAATTCCTGGAATCCTTAGCAGCCATGTCGTTGGGGGTGTCAGAGCTGTGGGCATGCGTTGTCAGTTGTGACTCCAGTTCCAAACATGGAATGGTGGAGTTAACCCAAAATGCCCGCCCTCCCACTCATGCCTGTGATGTTTGGAGGCAACAGTTCCCCATAAACCCATTAGCTCAGCACTCCCAGCCGGAGCCCTTTTCTTTCTCAGCCGCTGGATGTGGGTTCTCCACTCTGCTTTGAGCCAGTCGGCTTTGTGTCTATGAAAACCACCGTTGCCTGTCTCCCATCTTTCATCACCTCAATGAGGGCAGCTAATGTTTAAAAGTAGAGAATAGGGAATGGAATGATGGATAAATTATAAGTTTGGGGATATGAGAAGTCAAACTGTGTAAATATGTATTTTAAACCACAAACAGAATGTTAATGCGTCTTTCCCATTAACTCGCTAACTGAAATTACAGAGTGTAATGTGAGCCAACGCCCACGGCTTGGTTATGATGTTTTCAGATTTAGAACAGCAAATGATAAATGTCCTTCCTTCAGACAAAGGAGCAATTGGCACTGCTTCTCGGTGTAGTCTCTAGCGGGATGGGTAATGAAAAAGAAACTGAGTACTCAGGAAAAGGGGTCATGAGACACCTGTGGGTGTTCTCCTAAGTTTGTCTGAGTATTGGGGGATAGAAGAGGATTTAGGATGGTCTGTCCAGGCAGTGAGGACCTAGGCAAGGTAAGGACCCAGGCATGGTGGCTTGGAATGCCTTCCTGCTTTAGAGTGGGTGTGTTTTCTTAAGCACTAACACCATGTTGCTTGGCTTTGTGAACAGCTAAAGAGAAACAGGTCTCTGTGGATAGGTTTGGTGTGGGGAGGAGTGGTTTATTTAGCAGCCCATGTCATTGGGATGTGGCTTACGGGCAGCAGAATAGCACAGACAAAAGGATGTGGAGAAATTGGAATCTCTGTGCCCTGTTTGTTGGAATGTAAAAGTTGGTAGAAATCAAACGGAAATTTAAAAATAGGGTTTTTATATGAGACAGAAATTCCACTTCTGGATACATCAAACTGGTAAAATCGGGGAAGAAAGGGGGAATTTCCATGCAACCGTGTTCACTGCCGCATTTTCACAGTCGTCAAATGGTGGCAGCAACCCAAGTGTCCACTGACAGATGAGACGATGACTAACGCATGGGGTAGACACTCCCTGGAACATCACTCAGTATGCGAAAGAAAGGACATTTTGACACAGCTTCAAGATTGTTGAGCCCCGATGTGCCATGTGCAGCCACACAGCCAGAGAATGACAGATGCACCGTGAATCCACCTTCTGGAGGGACCTGCAATAGTCAGAGTCATAGAGACAGAAGGTGGAAGGGTGGCTTCAAAGTTGCAGAAGAGAAGGAACTAATAATGATTTGTTTCGCAGGTATAGCATGACAATTTTGGAAGAAGAAAAGAATTCTGGGGGGTCATTGGACAATAGTGTAAATGCACTTGGTGCTACTGAATTACAGAATTACAATGATGGTCGAGATAGTGTATTTTGTGTTTTGTTTATTATGCTATAATTAAACTTTTAGAAAAGAGAGAGTCAAGAGAAAAGGGAGATTAAGAACCATGGCCTTGCGTGGGATGGAGACCTGCAATTAAGTTCTGTCATGGTCACTTACAAACTAAGAATTATAGGTAATCAATTTATACTAATCCCTCAGACTTCAGGAAGTGCTGAACATAGTCCTCTTTCTTAGGGGTGTGCCATGGGCTTGAATAGAATTGTGTGTGCTGAGCTTTTAGTTCCTGCCTTGTAGACAGCCATGGCATAAAGGAGATGCGGACTGGCATTCGTTCTCTCCGTATCCTCTACCCCTCAGAGACTATACCTTAGTTGATGCTGTCTCCAGAGGGTAGAGTCCATATCAGAAGCCTTCCCTTGTATGTACCCATCTTTCCTATTCAGCAATGCCAAGCCACATGCCTCATCCCTGTCAGAAAAGTCACTGTTGCTCCCAGCTCGCGGTGGTCACTGGAGGAATCTAGCATCTGTCCCATTCGCTCTCATTCTCCTCTCACTCATCAGCAAGCTTCTGCCGAGCCTTCCATCTGGAAAACAGGACGCAAAGACTTGTTCGTTTCTCGCTCTAGGTAGAGAATAGTCCAGCTGACGTCTGTATTTTTCCTTCGAGATGTGTCCTCGTAGCTGGCTGTGCATCTGTCTGTGTGAAGACCCACCCTTTCCCACACTGGTGACAGTTCTTTGACATTTGGCATTGCTTGTGTGAGTAGCTCGTCTTTTTCCTGTTTCACTTCTTTGTGTCAACCCAAAGAAACCAAACACTAGGCACATGTGAGTGATGTCCATGCCCACCTTGATCCTCAGGATGTGACTTCTTCGGAAGAAGGGTTTTTGCAGGTGTAACCGAGTTGAGCTAGAGGAGCGGGCCATCTTAAATCAGATAGGCTCTAAACGCAACACGTTGCATCTTATTAAGAGAAAGGAGAGATATTTGGGTCTAGAAAGGAGAGCTTCCTGCCTGGCGTCATGCCACAATTAAAAGGAAGACCTGGAAACACCAGAATCTGATACAAGCAAGGCGTGATCCCTCCCTGTCTCATCAGGGAGACCACGGCCACACTCACACCAGACTCCAATCTTACATGGTTTCACGAAAGAAACGTTCCATATGCACACGTTTACATATGCACTCATGTTGTAGAATGTTATTTTAAGGTGTGTTATTTTTGTTTATGCTCTGGAACATTTGTGTAATAATACAAAGATGTGTTTGATTAAATAAAATTCACTTGCAGTCAGGAGGCCTCGTCAGAAACCAGCTGACAGGAAGTTGTAGGGAGGAGCCAGGTGGAGAAGGGTTTTTAAAAAGGGGCAAGAAGAAGCAGGAGAATTTTTTGGTTTCTCCTTCTTCATGAAGATCCACTCCTTTGAGTACATCCCTGTATTTCAGTAAGTTCCCTGCATGTCTTTGCTGAAGGAACCTAGATGGGGCGTCCTGGAGCTGAGACCTTCGCTGTCATCTGAACGTTGTGGCTGAGTCGTGGCCCAAGCACCACACAGAGGGAATCACTTACCTGTGCTCCTCTCTTTGCAGGCAACACCGATGAGTAATCCCAGCGTCCCTCTTTGATATAAACTTCCCCTTCCCACTTCCTTCGTCTCCAGACTTTACCTCTCCCTGGCTGCCAACACATCCTCAGCCTGCCTAGGCTCAGAGCCAAGAAATCCTAGTTTTTTTCAGGAGTGCAGTGTTGCCATTTCTGGGGCCTGTGGCACAGGCTGACTGAATGCAAGCTGCCTGAAGGTTAAAAGGTGACCTTGGTCAATGTTTAGCTAATGTTCTCTTCAATAATTTCCCCTGGTTAATCAATCATGGGGCAAATGGGCTGGGGACATTCATACCCTGCAGGTAAACTAGAATGGTTAGAACTGGCACTCCCAAACTTGCTGTTCAGTGTGCAAAGCTATGCAGCATGCCGCCTGCTCAACCCAGCTTTCTGGCTCTTGGATCCTCATGCCCAACATTAATTAGTCAGAAAAGGGCTCTGATACTTAAAGACACCCATTATCTCCATCTCAAGGGACCTCATGCCCAATCTTTGCCTCTCCTCCCATAACCCTGCCACTCCCAAACAGTGTGTTCAGGCTCCCAAGAAAGCCATGGAAGATGCTAAATGTTTGAAGGCCGCACAGCAACATGGAATATTTGACAGATGCTGTCAGTACTAGATCATGCTAGTGCATGTCTCAACAAAGCAGGTTTTTCTGAGTTTTGTTTGTTTATTTTTGGTAGAGTTTTGGACAAACAGAAAGGATAATAGAAAATCCATATGGAACAAGAAATGCAGACGTCCCTGCCTGCCAGTGTGTGTTACGTATGTCAGGGATGTTGTGTATGGCCCAGCAAGTATACATGTCCCTTAGTAAATAACTATAAGCCGTGAAGAATAGAATGAGAGGGGTTCCTCCAAATTATGCTTCTTATTTTGTGTCAAGTGGCCGTTAAGTTGCTATGATATAATTGTTTATTCATTTGTTTGGTGTAATGAAGTTGTTGGGAATTGGGGCCTCTCTTCTCTTCGTGAATACTGAGAGATTCTTAGGGAATCTTTAGTTGAAAAAGTTAGTGAGACTTTGTTATCGCCCAAACCAGGACCCTCCTAACTCTACCTCTATTCTGCCTCCAGCCAGCAATGTTCCCTTCTAGACAAACTAAGGCCTGTTCCTGTGTATTGTGTTGAAGATAGGCAATACAATACCATCACCTCTTTCTTTCCCTGGATGAGGTTTCATTCATTCATTCAAAGAAAAAAAGAGTCTGGCCAAGGGTCTCACCACGTCTACCTTGGCCATGCTGCTCCCTGTTTAGGCTTCTCTCCATCTGTCTAGTTCTCGGTCAGACTCTCCCTTCTCCCTTCGTGATGTTACTGGCCTCACCCCTCCCTGTACCATTCTCATTGTGCCGTATCCTCACAACATGGCTTCCTTCCTTCTTCTCGTGTTATATTCCTGGCTGCCACACTCAGAGGCATTGGCAAGCTCTAAAGAGCCCCCCAGACATATACCTTCATTGTCACCACAGTGGTCTGGGGAGCACTCATTCCCCACTTGGTGCCTTTTCTCCTGCTGGACCATGTTCTGATGACATGGCTGCATCTTCTCCAGAATGGGACTGACAATGATTTTTCACCTTTAACCTCCTGGTTCTATAGAGCTATTTGGGGTCCTCTGTTTCCAACTTGCATTCAACCCCCAAATTCTCAGAGGTCTTTGAGGCCACAGTATACATTCATCAACATGTTTGTACCCTCTGCAGTACCTGTTATCATAGTGGTAGATATATGTTAGAGGTAAACAAAACTTTATAGAACATGCAGTCTGGGACTTGGTCCCCCTGGAGCTCTACTCATGTGACAGGAACTAAGGATATCTGATTCCAGGCATGGTCTTGGTTTTCAGTCTAGGCTTCCCTGCAATTTCCTGTGGGGGACAGCTTGGAACTCACAGCATACATTTGTGTGAACTTTAATAGTGCTGGGATTACAGGTGTGAGCCACAACACATAAGAATAGGTCTTTGATAAGCTTGGCCTCTGAGATAAAGTGGAACCTAATATTTCACTCCTTGTGAAACAGAGACTCTTTCCTCGAACTTGTATTTAATAGATAAGCTAGAAAATAAATACAAAGAGAATTAAACTTAGATGTAATAAACCTACTTGTATTTTAAGATATCAACTGATATAATTATATATGTGAAATATATATATATATACATATATATTTATGAAATAAAGACAGGATTCTGTTTTACATACTACTTTTTAATGCCCTCTTATAGCTCAGGAACATTGCTAAGGGAATAAATGAATTGAATAAAAATTCCATATTTTATCTTGTACATTATGTTAGTGTTCATCATTGCTTACTTTTAATATTGAAAATACATATTACATCATCATTCCAGGAAACTGTCTGTGTCAGTATTGCTCAGAGTTGTGCATGGTCTGGTGCCAGTCTGAAGATGAACACAGGTCTACGAGCTAAGTTTAGAAATCATGAGTAAGCACCCAGACCTTTTTATAAATGTAGCACTCTTAGCTCATTTTAGATGCTCTTTGTGATATAGAATCGTTACATGCCCTGTTAAAATCAGTCTGTAGTTCACATTTAACAGGCTTCCACTTCCTGAAACTCACCATACCCAGGATGGCAGACCTAGTCCTCTTACACTGAGACTCAGAATACACAGGAGAACTGACCAGTCCTCTTACACAGAGACTCACCATACCCGGGAGGACTAACCTAGGTCTCTTACACTAAGGTTCACCATACCCAGGAGGACAGATCTAGTCTCTTACACTGGCTTATTCACATAGATGGTTTCTTTCCAGAACAGTGCCAAGGATAAAAGTAGACATGATTTATCAAAGCCAATTAAAGGAGTAATTTGTGTGCAATGTGGATGAGAATGGTCCTCTAGGCACATATGTTTGGACATTTGGTCCCAAGTTGGTGGAAATGTTTGGGAAGGATTGGAGGCGTCATCTTGTTGAAGAAGGTGTGTCACTGGGGTGCTCTGAGGTTTCCTAAAGAGGCACACCATTTCCAGCCCTACTCCTGCATTCTACCTGAGGCAAAGTGTGAGCTCTCACTGCTCTACTGCCAAACCTTTGTCCTGCTGGCATGGACTCTCCACACGCCAAATTCAATGCTTTATTTTATAAGCTGCATCAGTCATGGTATTTGTCACAGCAACAAAAAAAATAAATAAGACATGCAGTAATATTTACATGTTGGTAAACAATTTGCATCATTCTATTTTAGTAAGCAATTTGCATAATAATAAACCCTTTTTAGCATACAGTTTCATGAGGCTGGATAAATATGTAAGATATGATAATTACCATAGCAATCAGGATAAAGAACGACCATTATCCCCACAAATAAGCTCTTGCCTTTGTAGTCATCTGACCTCACCATCCTTGTATTCTTGGCAATGGAGATTCAGTCTTTGTCTCAGACACTGTTTGGAATTAGAATTTTGTTTTACCTGTCACCATGCACATGACGTGTATTGTTGCATGTTTCTGTAGCTCATCTCCTCCCCCCTTTTTTGACTTGTTCAACACTAAAATTTTTTTTTAATATTTATTTATTTATTATGTATACAATATTCTGTCTGCATGTATGCCTGCAGGCCAGAAGAGGGCACCAGATCTCATTACAGATGGTTGTGAGCCACCATGTAGTTGCTGGGAATTGAACTCAGGACCTTTGGAAGAGCAGGCAATGCTCTTAACCACTGAGCCATCTCTCCAGCCCCAACTCTAAAAATTTTGTATTTGTTTTTGTTTTAGTAATAAAATTTTTACCATCAAAGCAAATGATTTCACTGTATGATTAGATCTGCTCGTCCATTCATAAGATGAGGGGTCCTCTGGGCTGTTTGTAGATTCCTGTGACTTCATTAAATTGCTGTAATGGTGTGTAGAGTCCTTAAGTGGACACGTCACTTGTGTACCAACATGTTTATATCTCTTCGGGGTGATTATCTGAAAGTGGAATTGAGTCTCATGGTAAGTACATACTTCCTGGTATGAGTGGCTCTGTTGTTTTCCTTTTCTTTTCTTTATTCCTTTCTTTTGTTTTTTTGTTTGTTTGTTTGTTTTTGGTTTTGTTTTTCAAGACAAGTTTTCCTGACTGTCCTGGAACTTGTTCTGTAGACTAGGCTAACCTCAAACTCAGAGATCTGCCTGTCTCAGTATCCTGAGTACTGGAATTAACGTATGGGCCACCAGCATATGACTAAACCATTTTTTATTGCTTCCAGCAAAATATGAAAATTATAATCATTTTGTCTATTTTCCATAACTTCATCAATATGTTATTGGTTTTTATTTTTATCTTTGATGTTCTGATAGGTTTGTTGGTAGTATCTCATTGTGGGTATAATTTTCATTTCCTTAATGTATGATATTAAACATCCTTTCAGTTGCTCATTTGCAATTCACATGTCTCCTTTGATAAAATTATATTCAAATCCTGTGCCAATTTAAAAAATTGAGTTTAGTTTCCTTATATTGAGTTTGAGATATAAAAAAGTCCAATTTATAATTCTTTTCTTCTGTACATCAACTTTTATTATTTTATCTAAGAAATCTTAGTTAACACATGATCACAAAAGTTTGGTCTCTCGTTCTTTGTTTGTTATTTTGTTTGTTCCCCCCCCCAATTTTGTGGTTCATCTTCATATTTAAGTCCACAGCCCATTTTTAGTTCCTACTCAGATATAGTACACAGTGGACATATATACTCGATGTAGGCCAATCTGTAGCAATATAGGTTTCTTATTTATTTTTCATTTGAATGTCAAATTATTTCAGTTTCCTTTGTTTAAGGAGATTTTACCTCTCCATTTAGTTTTACTCATTTATGAACCATCAGTTGGCTTTCTGTGCGTGGCGTCTGTCTCTCAACGCTCTGACCTGCTGTAGGGAGTGGATCCCTTCATCAGTAGCGTGCGGCCCAACTGCCATGCCACGTGCTTTGATTGATAGGATAGTCCTCTGATTTTGCACCAAAGTTTTTTGGATAATTCCTTTGTTTTCTCTCTACATTTTCAGATCGGCTTATCGACTCCTGTACATTGTTGGGAGAATTTTAATTGGGATTATATTGGATATGTGGCATGTTAGGGGAGAACTAATATCTATATGATTCTGAGTCCATGAAAATAAGTATCATTCTCCAGCCATTGACTCC